ATATTCCTGTGTACAAGTTCTAAAATTCCCTCAGGTACACACCTGAAGAAGAAGTATAAGTTATGGCTGCGGTGAGGGCGTCACAGTGTTGGTCATATCATTTGTCATTGGGGCTTATGGTGCCTCCAATTCAACAAATCCATGATGAGTTTTATATGTTTTTTGGACAACAGCTGTGCAGGTCTAGACCCCAGCAAACATTAGGACAAAGTGAGAGATTAATATCAATAAGTACTGACACTGAATCGATCACTTCTGTCCACTTTACTGCAGCAGTGTCACAGACTGTGGATTAAACTACCCACTCGCCCCTAAAACACAATCTTACAAACAGACATACAAGGGTTCAACGGGTGAACTGCAAAGATCCTGAGTGATCTTTTCACAGCTGTTTAAGTTACGAAAGGTACAAATATGAGTCCAGGACGGCTGTGCGTAGGTGGGCAGCCAGCTCAGACAAAAACCTGTGTCAGATTCTGATTCAGTTGTCAAATATTGTGACCTCTCTCTTTCATCTAAAATCCACCCAAGCTCCAGAGGTTACATCATTTACACTTTTCCAGCCCAAATCATAATTTTCTTGAGTATTTTAATTTCACAACATGCATAGATGATACATCGACAGAGCTGGACTCATAAACACGCAAGGGTTGTCTGAAAGCCGACGGCCTCGTCACTGCACCAAATTAGATTATCAGAGCATTTATTCTAATTTACGCTGACTATTGCTAGATCATTCTCTTAACTCTCTCTTTTAAAGTCCCCACATCATCTTTCAGTAAAAGAGGAATTTAAATTCTTATATTTAAGATTCTTTGTGTATTTATAAACTTGCCTCAAACTGGTTGATATAATGCAAATATAGTTCTCAACACAAACTGTGGGGAATAAAGTCTTAATGATGATGGCCGTTATAGGAATGATCCTTTGTTTTTATATGTTATTATTTGTTTATGATTTTACTTCCTTGAATATTTTAACTGTTGTCTGCTTTGGTGTTTTTTTATTTTGTTAATCACTTTGAGCCATAATCCTTGTATGAATAGATAATCATTAATATTAATAGTATTCACAGAGCATTCAGCATTAGAAATAAAGCAACTCAAAAGGGCAACCACACACATTTTCTTTCTGAACTGCTGCTCACACACACGCTTTACTTTGACTCCCGGCCGTCCTCCGGTGCAGCAGGGGGCGCTGCTGCTCCGGACTCATCCGGATACAGACACATTGCAAAGTCAGTCTTCCGCTGCGCAGACACCTCTTCTTAATCCGGGAGGAAGAGGAGCAAAAACCCCACCGAAATGGTGAGTAAATATATCGATGTTGATCCATTGCTTGTAGTCTGGGTGTGCAGAGATGTGTCCGATGGTGTGAAGGTGTTTCCGGCGGGGTTCGGGTCAGATGTCGGTGGATGTTTGCGGCTGTTCGGTGGCACCGGGCCGGTGAGCCGCTGAGCTCCAGCGTGGCGCCTCCATGGCTGATGAAACCTCAGCTTGCAGCTCAGGACACTCACACCGAGGGTTTATTTACCTATTAAAGCACCTTTATGTGGCACTGTCAACATCGTGACAAACATAACAGCTGACATTTATTTGTATTTGTAACTTTTTTTTTTTAATTCTAGCTAGCTTGGTAACATCTGGACTCTGCTTTTCCTCTCAGGGCTTCGTCAAAGTGGTGAAGAACAAGGCCTACTTCAAGAGATATGAAGTCAAATTCAGGAGAAGACGAGGTAAGACTGTATTCTCTACAGCCCAGCGTGATACTGAGCATGCGCCAACAAGCTAAGTTTATTAAAATAGTGCTTCAGTAACCATTTGGCTCATGTCAACTCCACAGAGGGAAAGACTGACTTCTACGCCCGCAAGCGCCTGGTTGTGCAGGACAAGAACAAGTACAACACACCAAAGTACCGAATGATCGTCAGGTTCTCCAACAGGGACGTCTGCTGCCAGGTCAGTGACTGAGAGACTGAGAGAAACATCATGTGGCCACGTGTATGAAAATGACCCCACTGACCGTTCTCCGTATGTGTTGTTCAGATTGCCTATGCAAAGATTGAAGGAGACCAGATTGTGTGTGCTGCTTACTCTCACGAGCTGCCCAAATATGGTATCACCGTAGGCCTTACTAACTACGCTGCGGCCTACTGCACTGGGCTGCTGCTGGCTCGCCGGGTAAGAACACACACACACACAGACACAGACACAAAGACAGAGACAGAGAAATTGCAAATATCAGCAGTCTGCACATGAATAGGACAGTGAAAACAGCTGAATTTGCAATTTCAGAGGTCAGATTTATTGAATCACCTTATTTCAAAATCAGTAAGAGTTGGTGCTACTGCATGAACAGATTTTGTAATAGTTTTCTCACGTCCTCTTTTTCACCTTCCTCCTCCTCTTCTTAGCTGCTGCACAAGTTTGGCATGGACCAGGTGTACGAGGGCCAGGTGGAGGTGACCGGAGATGAGTTCAACGTAGAGAGCATTGACGGACAGCCGAGCGCCTTCACGTGTTACCTCGACGCAGGCCTGGCCAGAACCACCACAGGGAACAAGGTGTTCGGAGCGCTGAAGGGGGCGGTCGACGGAGGGTTGGCTATTCCTCACAGGTCAGTATGAGAATAACGCACACACTAAATTTAGTTTTACTTTCACACAGTCTGATAAGACTTTGTTCTCGAAGTTGCAGTTTTTTGCAGGTTTGCACAAAGAGACGACTATCTTAACTTAGTGATCACACTATTACACTCGTGTATCTCAGAAAGGTGTCACTTTTGAGAGGGCGCCATAGTTTCCTTTCAGATGTTTTTTTCCTCTTACATAAAGCTGATCATCGTTTCTGTGCGCTGCTGGTTTGTCTCTGCTTCTTGATGATGTTACGAAGCACACTGAGCAAAATGTAGTTGGTCCTTCATTTGCATTAGCTGATGTTTACTGTCCTTTCAAGACGGGGCTGAGAGAGGCGAGATGAACCAGAGCAAATATCCGTCACTGTAGCAGATTGATCGTAATTACAAGACACCAGAACCTTTTGTGTTGGGAAAAGCTGGACTGTCTGACTCTGTCACTAAACCTCCTCTCCGCTTTTCCTTGTTTCCAGTCTAAAACGCTTCCCCGGCTACGACCCAGAGAGTAAAGAGTTCAACGCGGAGGTGCATCGGAAACACATCATGGGCATGAATGTGGCAGACTACATGTCTTACCTGATGGAGGAGGACGAGGATGCCTACAAGAAACAGTTCTCTCGCTTCATCAAGAACGGAGTCACGCCAGACACAGTAAGATGGAGGCTCTTTACCTGTAGACTGACAACACGTGACCATTTGAGACTAATGTGAAGCGTCTTTGGTCGCACTTACACGTGCTTTACGTTTGCTTTATCTAAAATCCTCAATTTATGTTAAGCCAATATCATAAATGAAGAAGAATAATAGTGATTCTTTCAGACTAGTAGCAGTAAAGTAGCCTACACTTGGGAGTGTTTAGTGACAAAGGTAATGAGATACAGTTAGATTATGTTGTTGTAATTCATTTTTAAATTTAAAAAACACTGATTGGTTCCTAGTTCCTTGTAGTCAGGATGTACACAATGCATTAAGAGGAAAAATATTTAAATGATATTTCCTGTAATCTTCACGTGGAGCTGAAAAGTTGTAATCTTTGAAGGCACATAAGAGTGAGCCCCACAATTAATTTATGAATAGCTGATATTATTTTATTGCAGATGTATCTTATCAGCATATAGTTTGTTCAATAAGCAACAAATTGTTGTACAGATTGATGCCCACAATGTGTTGGAGGTAATTTAGAAACAGTGGTTCTATTGCATAATATGTCCACCAGAGAGCAGTGACGAGTTCGTTTTGAACATGTTCTGCTCAGGACACATCTTGATCACATACCAAGTGTAAGGGAGCCTTAGAAAGGTTTGGCATGTATTTCTGTAAAAAAAGACACAGTTGTTAGTGTATTTATTTTAACGTGGCTTTTGTAACAGTGAAGGACCCACACAGTCCACAAAACCACAGTCAAGGCCAGTGGTCTCGTTTCCCTGCAGCTGCATCATTAGTGTACACTTATATGGGGCCTGACCGCAACGACAAAGAACAAGCAAATGTTCCAAAATACTTTCACTGTGGTTCTCTGCTTCTTGATGATGTTACAAAGCACGCTGAGCAAAATGTAGTTGGTCCTTCATTTGCACCGGCTGATGTTTAATGTCCTTTCAAGACGGGGCTGAGAGAAGCAAGACGAACCATCGTGCACTGAGTGAAACGCATAGACGTGGTGCACTGACGCGTATGTCGTTTCTGTTCTTTTCAGGTAGAAGAAATGTACAAAAAAGCACACGCCACCATCAGAGCAAATCCTGTACACGAAAAGAAGCCCAAAAAAGACGTCAAGAAGAAGAGGTGCGTTCCTAATATCCATATTTTCGTTGTTTTTGTTAAAAGGTGGATTTTATGGTTGATTGTAAACCTTTTTTATTATTAATACCCGGGGGAAATAACTGTCCTCATTAAATGCAAGTTTCCTTTCTGAGTATTGAATAGCTGCACTGGGAAGATCCCAGTGCTGAGCGGACAAACATTGTGTTGAATGTTAATGGAGCTGTTGTTGCCTCTTTTCCGGGCAGGTGGAATCGCGCCAAGTTATCTCTGGCACAGAGGAAGGACCGCGTCGCCCAGAAAAAGGCCAGCTTCTTACGAGCGCAAGAACAAGAAGAAGGGGACGGTTAGGGGCTCGGCACAGCGCTCTGCTGAGAAAACACAACACACATCACAGACAAATAAATTTATTTCAAACTCAAGCTTTTGTCTCTCCGCTTTCTTTAATGAATTTTATGTGTTTGGTGTATGTATTGACTTCTGCTAAATGACACCCATGACTAATATTTACATTGATAATCTTAGATCGACATAAATTACTCAATGTAGGATAAGAGTAGGGTGCAGTGTTAAGAAAGACCTCAAACAACCTGACAGGTTGACAGTGAAGTGGTATGTAGTTTAATTGTGCAAAAATCATGCTGGTCTCTTCAATAAGTAAACACTTTTTTTACATTTTCAAAATTCAAACAGCAGCATCGACCACAAGCTTGACATGCTTTACAGGTCACCTCTGTTCTTCATTTAAAGTGGTTAAACAAGTCAGGTTGTCGGTTCGGTCTGAGTAAGTACACAACAGCGTTGTCTGAAAAGGATCGTGGAAAATACGCTCCTATACAGCATTCAAATGTGACCGCAGGATTCTATAGAGGTGGTAAACATTCATAAATGATTTCAGCATGATCTCTATGGCACTGAGACGAAATCTAAAAATAATGTGATACAGCACATTACAACAAATGCTCTTTTCAGTGAAAAATACAAGTAGATAACATTCACAAAAATTAAATACAACATTTCTCTTTGTGTCATTGATGCAGCATTGACGACATCACTAGCGTTACAGGTGGAGAATAGTACAGCAGAGTACACTGACATTCAGTATATGACCTCTGGAATACTGACAAACCATTATCATTACATTGTAGATCATGTGTTGTGCAGATAAGTGACAAAGGGGAATCCACAATGAGCCTCTAGAACAGCTTCAATGCTCCTTGGCATTTATTCTGGCTGTCGAGGTTTGTCCTTAAATTTCTCACTAATCTGCACTTGTTAAAGGTAAAGTCTGGTGATATTCTGTTTTTCTTATAGTCAACTCTACACTTGAAAAAACCCAAACCAACAAAGAATGTTTCTTACTGTACTACCTGTAGCCAAAACCTACAATATGGGTGACATGTTCCTTCATCACGATGAACAAGGGCACTGTAGTATATTTCAACTCAATGTAAATACACAGTAGTGCATCAAATGTGTATTCATCTGCAGCTGAAAGTAGTGTCCAACAAATGCACCATTTACTCCTGTTTACAGTGCCCAGCTGTCAATAGGCACCACTGGGCTTGGGGCTGCAGACAGCGTAGTAAAATCAATACGTATTGAGAACTAATGCACTGTTGGTTTGGGGATTTTCATTAGATTTGCTAGAAAGCAAAAATTTAGAATATCACCAACCTTATCTTTACACTCCCTGATTATGTTTTAGTGCTCATTAGCAACATTGACATACAATTAAGGAGCTGATCTTAAAATAGTGCAATTTCATTACACTTTAAACTGGTGCTTTGTACAACAGTCACGTCTATACAGAATAAACTCTTTTGATGAACCTTGTTAGCTCGCACATATCAGCATGATGATGTGGTAAAAACAGCAATTTGGTCTCTCAGCTATTTGAGACAAACAGTAAAATCTGTTTACAAGTCTGTTTTTCCAGCAGTTCCCCCCGTAACATTCCTTTGTGGTGAACAATACAATACAATGTGGCTGCATGGACTGTTTTAAGTGTGACTGATGGCAACATGCAATCATTCAGTTTATTTAAATCTTGTGTGTTTCAGGCCCCAAATGTCTGAGACTGGGATAAAGGAGGTAGAGTCTCCTTAAGTCTGACCATTCCTAAGTGTTAAAGAGTTGATAAAAATGACTTAATTAAATTTGCTATTCCTAAATCACAGCATCTTCAATACTCAGCGCCATGTGAGGTGCAGACTGGCATGACTTCAGAAGGACTTCCTCTCCTCGTCATGAGTCCTTGGTGTGTGAGATCTGTCTCCACAGCAGAGCTTTCAGGTTGTTGAGGATAAGCGAGTGCTCCATGTTCATCTGTCCAGCGTTACCCTTGAGAGCCATACAGGCGTACAACTGCCTCTCGAGCTCCTCTCTCAGCCCTGACGGCGCCCCACGCAGGATGTAGTCCTTCAGCGCACCACATGCCTTTGCCAAGTTTGGCTGAACTGGCTCCTCCCTGCACCGTTTCTCTGACACGTCACACGACGTCTGGCAGTCTGCCCCGTACACACAGTCGGCATCCGTCTCACACTTCAACACCCGCATGGTGCGCTTGAACTCGTCCTCAGGAACCACCGCTCGGGTGTTAGTCAGACGGATCTCATGGCGGTCGGTGTAACCAAAGTGCGCTGCGGCGAGGTCGCAGATCAGGAAGCTGCCGTACGTGCCGTGGAAGATGTCCTCCACCAGCTCCAGCAGGCCCATGGAGATCTTAGCTTTACGAGGCCATGAGGGGGTGAACCACTGGTCCATAGTGCGCTGCAAGCCACTGGGCACCCAGGATACTAGTGGCCAGGGTAGAGACAAACCATACAGGGGCCCGTAAGGGACTCGCTCTGTCATGTACAGGTCCCCGCAGTAACCGAGGAGGCGAGGAGTGTGTCCACGGTCCTGGAGCAGCAGGCCCAGCAGCACCTCAAAAAACAACAAAGAACAAATGTGTCTCACCAAAGACTCAAAGGATTTCATATTTATATTTGTGGCACAGATAACTGGTCAGACCAGTCGTTCATTTTCTTATTCAGAGGCTTGTTATTATACCTCATCCATCTGCAGGAGGGCCCATGTAGAGCGGGCTTCCGGCAGTGACACCCGTCCATCTTTGTTGCCATCGGCGACAGAGAGAATCTGGCTGACAAGGCTGGCGAGGTTAGCCTGCTCTCCAAGCTTGGACTGGAGGAAAGAGAGGGACAGGGGCTTAAAGGGGGTTGTCACAGACTCAAATATTTGGTTCTGTGTGAACCTCTCTGACTCAAGTCCTTTACCTTAAGGTGATTAAAGACCATCTCTCGGAACTTCTCCACCGATGTTCCTCTGGTGGGCTTGTCAAACACGGGGGCCTCTCTCCGCGGCTCCGGCTCTTCGCCCAGCTCGTAGTGCACAACCTCCCCCAGCTTACAGCGGATGATCCCATCGTGGTCTCCCCAGCTTCCTGTGTACACCTGACGAACAGAAAGGCCAAACAAACGTTTAACAAGGTGAACACAAGAAGCAGAGTTACAAGTTCAACAGAAAGTAAACTGTGGTATTTACCTGGTTATTTGGCAGTGTCGACAAACACCTGCTCATGTAGAGTGTTTCTTTGTCACACAGACTGCTGCAGGCAGAGCCATCAATTATCCCCCTCCTGTATTTGTCACACTTGGAGAAAATGCAGAGAAGTGTGATTTAATGTTTAGCCTCCATCAGATTAGTTTGGTACTGCAGGAATACTATTTTTCTTAAGCAGAGAACACACAGAAATCAGATTATACCCAGGTATATTTACAAAATAAAAACCTATTACCAAAATCATTCCAAACACAGTCTGAACAAATAAATGAGCCATTACTCACAATGGCGTTCTTGCACTCGTGTCCTCTGCACAGCTCTGTGTAGGCGGAGTATTGCACGTAGAGCACCCAGCTCCCCACCAGCACAGTCAGCCATGTAAGAAACAGGTACTTCACCCGCACAAAGGAGATCCGAGCCTACGAAAGGCGAACAGAAACAGAAACTCTCAACACCAGAACCTAAAAATACACCTGCACTACAATCTGTATTGAATCTGTTGACTCTACTGTGCTATTGTGAAAATGTCTTATGTCTTGTCATGTCATCTCTTATTTCAAAGTCCATTCATGTTATGAAAATATTCATCTATGTATCCACCCTCCAGACTGTATTAACGTTACACAGGCACAACACACCAAGAGGGTGTCAATCCAAGCAAGACATTTGCACTCCCTAATCAAACCTGATCACATAATAGGTTACCATGGTGACTGCATGGGGGTGTCCCATAACAACGTTCTGGCTGGCTGATTAGTCACCAACAATGGCTCGTTTAGCTGGAAAATGGTTTAGGGGGTGCCGATCCAGTTGTTCCAGCGTGCCATTCTGGTTATGGCTTGTTAAAAGAAAATCTAATTGCTTGTGACAAGTGCGTCACAGGATGCACACATCACATGTCTCACAATGCATCTTGTGACAATGTTAATGCAGTCAGTAACTTATTTTCCACAGTGATTCTTCACTTAGGAGGAAACATTTTCTATAGGTCACATTCTGGACACCAGAATCTAAAGGCAACACATCATATTTGAAAAGAACAGAAGTTATACAACCATGATTTATTTCAGCCTGTACTTTTTAACTATATATAGGCTCTACAGTGCCAAAAAAAAACATCACAAGATTTAAATCTTCCATTTATGTTATAAAACATAAAAACATTTTAGTGGTGCGTGACTACTGCAATGCAAACTAGTAAAAAACATTTGTTAGAAGGCACATTGCAGCAGTGAAGAAGAATTTAGGTCAAATTTGCTATGTAAGCCACAGTATGTGACTTTTGCAGTTTAGTTTTTTCTCCAAGGACTGTAACTGCACTTGGGGAGGATAAAGTGATTTTGATTCTCACTCTGATCACATGGCAGGAACAGCTTATGTTGTGTGTGTTTTGGCAGCGCGCTGTTCCTCTCATTTCAGCTCCAGCACAGTTTCCAAATCCCAACAAAATATGCACCCAGTGAGGCAGGGACCAAACACAAGCCTTTTTATCTTTGATGTGCTGTGATTATTGTACTTGGTAAACAGCTCTGATCTGGACAGAAGTGTTTTGTGTCCATACAAAGTGCAGCAAAACTGAGATCAGATCCACCTTCAAGTACATACAGACATCTAACTACTGTCATAAATGCAGATTAAGGAATATAACGTCTCTCGGATTTTTAATGAGGTCCATGTTTTTTTCATGGAATTTGTTCAAACTAAATATGCAACACAGTCCAACTTTGAGCTCCAGACATCACAGAAAAGCAAAGGGAGGACACAGGAAAACCATAATCATCCTGCCTTTCATTCTCTTTGGTGCATTTCATCAAATTGTCCGTTGGTTAGAGCTTTACCAGCAGCTTCATGTTAGAGCTGCAGAGACGTCTCCTCTGCAGAGCTGTCCTGACATGAACAAACAGATAGTGGGCCTTGAGGGAGAGGTGTATCAGGGGAGTAAAAAGGGAACTAGACATCACAATAAGATCTGACTCCTCCGGCATGCATGTAGGAACTGCACGTAGAAAATGTATGTGCCTGAAACACACACAGACAACATGGTGGGAAAATAAAGAATAAATGTGTGCACGCTGTCTGTCTCAACGTGTCTGTGCAAACACATGATGAAGTCTCAGAGTATAGAAGTGAAACCTGAGCAATAGAGAGTTTTATCCTTCACTCACTTCCTGTGGTCTCTTCCAGCGTCTCCTCTTCACTGCAACCACATAAGCAGTGTTTGTCTTGGCTGAAAACATTAGACGACCTTAAGTGATCCCATGCGGGGTATTCAATTGTGACAAAAGGGAGCTGAATACTATGTATGAAACAAAGTGTGACATAGAGGCATTATATACAATGTACGTGTAATAAATGTACTATAGTAAGTAAAACGGTAGAGACGTTGAACTGAGTGAGAAACAGAATACAAGAATATAGAAATGTTATACTTGAAGAAGAGTGGAATACAGTAAAATAAAAATACCTAATCCACCTTTGAAAAAGCACAACATGGCCCCTGCATATCTTATCTAGAGAAGACAGACTTCAGGATTTATAAGTAGCCTTCTGCAAACAAAAACCTCTTTTTGTTTTCAGCATTTGTGCATTAACATAAGACTTACGTAAACTAAAGCATATCAATCTAACGCAATCCCCAACACTTTTATTTATTATAGTTTTAACTATGTTATTTGATGTATGAAGACTTTGTTCATGCATGCATATTCTGTATGCCTATGTAAGTGTTGAAAAAAAACATTGTTGGGAGAAAAAAAAGGCTCAACATGTCCTTAAGATGTATAATAGTATAACACTTGACATGGCAACAACAGTGCAAAATACTGATGATAATACTGACGATAAAGGAAGCTGGTAACGAAAAGTGCAGTCACGGGAAAACTGTTCAAACTGTGAAGCCGCAGTACAAAAACCCTGTAGTGGAAACTGTAGGCTTACCAGCTGCCATCAGTTAGATTGAGTTACTGAGCATTAGCCCTCATAAAGTATTGACCTCTTATAGTCCAGTGGCAACAACAGGGACAAAAGACCTGCAGGATCACGTCTTCATATACTGTGGATGGAGCAGCCTGAAACTGCACTCGGGGTTTCACAGGGACAGGGAGGTGTTTCCCATGATGCCAAGTATCTTAGCAATCATTCATTTCTCTCCTACTTTCTCTGTGCTGCCACAGAATCCCAGATTGAAACAATATCTTTACAGACTCATTCATTCCTTCCCAGTCCACAAAAACCGGACAAAGATACTTAAGAACTGCAATCTCTCGGGTACTTCAAAATAACCTTTGACCTTTTTAAAAGCCATTTGCCCTACTTTAGTCTACAGATGTTTCAGGGCTGCATGGTTAAGTTTGCTACTGTAGATGTGTAATACATCAAACAGGTTTAGCGAGTGTGAGAACTAAAACCTGGAACCACCTCAAATCTGGAAAATGGACTGTTGAAGCAAGAAAAACTGGATTTTACTGCAAAATGATCCAGATATCTCTCTAAACTTGTTTCTTGGAACAGCACCGTGGACCTTGGTACAAACCAAACACCACGTCCTGTAACCAATCTGGATAACCTGCCTCTGCCAACACACTTTTTGGTGTGTCGCCATAAACAAGCAGGTCCCAAAACAAGACTTCTTTTTAGATTTGTTATCAGTCTGTCTGCATTATGTGGGTGTGTTGTGTTGCCTAAATATAAAAGGCACCAACTGGAAGTAAGTAAGTAATTCACACATTTACTGAAATATCATACAAACACTGAATGTACTTAAAAAAAAAAATGTTTCTGCTACTTGCACACTTACATACAAACTCTGTACAAAAACAGGAACAGGACAAATGACAATCAAATGTATAAACACACACAAGACCAGTGGGGCCAAAATATATATGTATGTAGGAGCATGGGACCGACACTATCTTAACAGGTACTGGAGGTAGTTGAGGTAGTTACTGGCAGCAGGTCACTGGTCCTCAGATCAGAAGGATCACTCTTATGATCCAACCAAAGGGATTACTGCTGCTCTGGCACTTCTGGAGGTGATGAAACTACTGTGAGCTGTGAGGGAAAGTCTTGGCAGATTTTCAGTGAGGAGAAATATACTTGAAATGAAGTGAGATTAAAACCATGATTGCAAACTACTCCACATTTAATAGAGCTGTTTTAGATCTGTTGTTGTTGTTTGTGTGTATTCACTCTGTTGTACTCTCATTGGAAATGAGGGCATTCAATTTAATTAAAGGTTGAATGAAAATGATCCAGATTCCTCCCTGGCCCTGGGTCATACATGCTGGCATGGATTACCTATTTCTCCTCCCATGTTGTACACAGTCTGAGTGGCAGACCTGTACTCTGGTCTGTACTCTGGT